GCATAACACTGTTGCATGGCCTACTGTGGCAAGATCAGCCTTTTTAGCTCACTAAAAAAAAAAAAAAAAAAAAAAAACTAAAATGCCAATCCTCAATTTCGACAATTATGGCTCGGTTGGACGTGGACAACACAATATTTTTTTTTTTATTTGGTCTAATGTATAGGTAGAGTTTATCATATTTTCTGATTATAAATACAAAAACCTTTATTGTTGATGATTGCTGATGATTGATTGATAATTGATTAATAATGATTGATTGATAATGATTGCTGGTCAGGATGATTGATTAATTGATAATGATTATAATTGATGATAATTGTTGATAATTGATAATGATAATGAATAATGTTTGATAGATGATGATGATTGATTGATGACTGATGATAATGCTGATCATAAATAATAATATTTAGCATTTGTATGTATTTTAATTTAATAACAATTTCTCTTCAGGTTCTGTATCTAGATGCTGTCAGATTCTTCCCAGATGAACTGGAAACCATCTTAGATATTTTAATGGAGAAAGATCTTCACATTCGAGTTCCAATTGAAGAAGTTGAGATTCTGATGAAGTCAAAGTGAAACTATTCAAAAGAAATCCAGTTTGTTTTCTCCCTCTTGTTTACAAATCGTTTACTTTTACAATGAAAAGCTTCAAACCATAAATGAAATTGATACCAGTCAAAAATAATTATAATGAATTTCATGTATCTTGCATACACTGGCATTAACATGGGGTTGGCAATGATTCAGTGAAGGTGGATACTTGGGTAATATGTAATGCTATAATGAATTGCATGTATCTTATATACAGTGGCATTAACATGGGGTTGGCAGAGGTTAACTGCAAGGGGATTCTAGAGGAATATGTAGGCCTAATGCTCAGTGAATTTCTAGTGGGAGAACCTACTATTTCTGAGAAAGGAAATTGCCTTAACTGTTACATACTGATCAACAAGTCTGTGAGAATGATGAGTATGGTGATGGTGATTATGATTACCGGTATGATGATCATATTTATGATTTTGTTGATGATGATGGCAATGACAACTGAAATGATGACATTGGTGACGGTGATGATTATGGTGGTGGTGATGATGATAATGATGAAATTGATAAGGATTATGACAAACTCAAGGCCAAATTTAAATTAAATTATTGTGTCGGCCACACCTGACCGACCCAAATGATACATAATTAAGGGTTGGCATTTTAGTTTGTTTTTTTTTTGACAAAAAAACAATATTTTTTTATGAGCTAATAAAGCTGGAATAGCCTTGTCGGGGCCAAGGCCAGCCTATTTTGCTGGATGGTACGCGATGCGAATCCAAAATTGTTGTATTATTTGTGTATTTTCTACATTTTAGGCGTAAACACATATTTGGTTGTTAAAAAAAAGTTTTTCTTCCGACCTACCAATTTTTTTGATTTTTCCAAAACATGGCCAAGTTTGGCCCAATTGCAGTGATGATGGCAGTGATAATGATGATTAAGGTGGTGATGATGACAATGATGCTGATCAAATATACTTTATCAATAAAAAAATGATAAAATGTAATCTGTGTTTCAGAGTATTATTAATTTTGTAAAGAAAATATAATAGAATATGTCTAATATATTTTTTAATGGATAAACCAATATGTTGATAGTGACGTTCATCTTGAGGTAATTTCCGGTCGTCTAGAAAACAAAAATTCCCCTGTAGCATTGTCTCTCGATTACCTCTCCCCCTCCCCCTTTCGGACATCTCTGGGTCTGCCCATGATAACTGCAGCTGAAATTAATACATGAAGGTGCCAATGTTTTCAAAAAATCATATCACTAATAAAGATGCTTAATTAATTCTTGAGTTTCCTGTTATCAAATTTTAATGATTGCATTCACCTTTATTCTGCCTGCCATTATTCTCACAGTTGTTCCTGATCATTATTATGAATCCTGTAATTGTTGTCATTGTCATTGTCATTTCTGTCATCATCATGCATACTGTCAATGTCATTAACATCATTGACAACTCCATCATCATCATCATCACTGCTATTGTTTATAATTGCATCAGAAATTGTATGCAATGAGGTGCTTGATGAATGCGTTGTAGAGGTACTAACAGAATTATAATTCTGCAGGAATTTCTCCAACGTTTCCAAATTGTGGTCCATATGTGCCATTATCTCTTCCGCATGTTTGACGTCAAACTCTTGACTTTTATTGCAAAATAGTTGCTTAACATCATCCTTTTTAAATTCTGGTTTGTTCTCATCAGATGAATCCTCGTCAAGTGTATCCATTACAGGTGGGCGAAATGTAAATGGCAACCCGCCATAATCAATTGATTGTCGCCGGACAATCCGTGGACCGGATGACTGATGGATTCTTGGTGCTCCAGCTATTGACAACCGCCTTGCATTCAGATTCCAGTCTGCTGGCCAACCATCTTTTCTGCCACTTTCATCCGTTAACTCAGTTTTACTTGTATTTATTTCATAGCTGGATGGATATTCGACATCAGAAGAACTGGATTCATGTTCTTCATGAAACATGGGAAAAACCTGGAACTTCATATCTCTCCCCTTATTATTCCTTAAAGAAATCTCTCCCGCCATGTAATCAGTTGTAACGATAGAGTGTCGTCTGGTTTCTGTTTGAACAAAAACCAAATCCTTCTCCTCAGTTTCTGATACTCGCTTTAGAAGAAGTGGGAATGCTTTCTTGTAATCTAAATCGAGAGTACTAAATGGCTTATCACTCCATTCGCTTATTTCTGCAACGGAATTGACACCAAAACTAAGAGGAAGTGGCCTTCTGAGAGCTTGATGGCATCCTGGCTTGATAGATATTGGTGGCGGAAATTTAAAAGTATAACCGGAGAACCAGTCAACATCAAAGTTGCAATGAAGTCGAGGAGGTTCTTTTGGCGGTTCCTTATATTTTTCTCTCTCTGTTATTTCCGAATGGCGTTGCTTCTGTTTGACTATTACCTCTGATTTGTTGAAACTTTCCGACTCAAAGTAGTCTGTGAAAGGTTTTGTTTGAGCGGTATGATTCTTTTTTGATTGCCGCTCCCCAACGGGAAGCAAGCGCAGAGTTGGACATCCAACTTTCCGTTGTATTGGTTTTGTTATAATATCATGCGTCGCGTCATTAGGACGTGTATTCATTAGATTTGCTTGTGTTTATTCGAATCATCTGACAGCTATGTTTGTGGACCAACCTATTTCCTATTTTTTACTAATACTATTCTTCACTGTTGTTGTTCACGTCCAAATTTAATTTCTGGATATGAAAGTTTAGCAATGATGTGTAGCCATAGCAATGGTTACACGCGTGGCAGTTATTTACTTGACAACGAACTGACACGCAGCACGCGATTATATGTTATTTTATTTTGTTTAGCGCGCTGAAGTTACTGCGCCCTCTATAGTATCATAAAAGTTTCTGGGCGCACCACCAATTGGGGATTGAAAACTATGATGAATAATGAATAATTTTCTGATGTTTTTGGAAAGCATTTAATAAGGTAAGCAATAAATACATCATCAAACAATACGCTGTTTGCATATTTTCAGCTATTTCTCAAGTAACAGAAATTGTAAACTCCATGATGATGGGGCTAGGCTAGGCCCAGGCGTAGCGTAGCCTAAGGTAAGGCCTTACTTAGGCCTAGGCCCTAGGCCCCTAGGTAGGCCTACTATTACTAAATAGGCCCTAGGGTGAGTCGCTAATTTTCATACCCGGTTAAAACAACTTAATTTTTGAACAATAGAATTACAGGAATCTAATTTTATCAGATGCATTGTAACTCATACATTCTAGAACTACAAATTCATAAAAATTGCATCCTGCCTGTAAAATGTAATCATCCTTTTGCCGATTTTACGCTAGATTTCGACACCCCCTCGGTGGCCTTAGCCAGTTTTCATCCGGAATATATATAGTTTAGGTTCATGGGGGGAGTTTTTATGGCCTAATTTGGTCCTAAATGTGCTTTTATTTAGACCACAATGTTAGGAACTGGCATTCAAAATAGCTTTACTTGGATAGGCAAATTATTATTTTTTGGTCTGACGACCTGGTCGTTCTTCGGGTGACAGTGGTCCAGGCCTGTACGACGGGTTGGCATATGCCCACCCCCCTCGCTGGCACCACCATTGTTTACTTTAGTGTTCAGAATTGGATTATGGAGGCTGGTGTGGTAAGTTTGTACCTATAGTCACAAGGCCTAGACGAGGCTTGCGGCAGGCTGGAAATAAGCTAGTTCAGAGCTGTCATTCCGTATACTAGTACCACGCGTGCCACTATTGATTGTGGTGAGACAATATGTGGCGCGGTCAAGCCAAATCAACTGGATAAAATGAGGCTTAGAGTACGCTGACCAATCTTCGGCAGGAGTTCCCACCCACTAAACCCATCTTTTACTTGGCTACCCTTGGGTAAAAGGTTAAAATCACATACCTGTAGAACAAATTGCCTTTGTCATTGGCATTGCTCTTCTTCAAGTGGTCAGGACCAGATGTGAGTAGTTGACTGCGTTCAACAACAAGTAAAATGCCACTAGGGGCGAATGCAGCCAAACAACCAGGGAATTTCGCAAAGATAGGATAAAAACATCAAGGGAGCCTTTCTCACAGGCAGTGACAGTTCGCTTAGTACAGACCATGACCAGATTGAAGTGGTTCTGGGTGGTTCTGGATTTTTCAAGAGAGCCATTAGTTGGTCTGTGCGTTGAGTTGGCGACTGGAGTAATCCAAACTCTGGAGGGTGATGTGGCATTCCTCCGGATCTTGGAGGGGAATTACAAATCATAATTTTGTGTTGTACGGTGTCCATTCTGTTGTGTTTTTTGCATCAACATTCCTGTTTTATGTTTAAAAAACAAGTTCCTGTTTTTTCGCAACCTGATTGAAGAAGAAAACCAAACAAATCATTGGAAGTAATTCAACAGAGGATATTATGGAGGAAAACAAAAAGAAAAAGGAAGGAGTAAATATAAGAGGCAGAAAAGAAATTTAAAAAAATAAACTTGGGAGGAAAGCCTACATCGCTAAGTACCCACTAGTGCTCTTGCTAATGGACTTCTATAATTGCCATCAGCGTGTAGCGTGGAATAATAAGGTTATACGCTGCTACTATAACACTGTATGTGTAGTCAGCACCGAACAGAATACACATATTTCTTGCCTATCAGTTAAGAGTCTTTAGAACCAGTGTATTACTAATTCTACTACAGTAAGTGAAATTGCTTATATTGATATACCATTAACATGTTATACTAACTTTATAGATGACACGCAAGTGGCAATTCCGTAGTATATAGTCAATAAATCTAGGCCCTCATAGCATACTAAGTTAAATGTTGCACACAAGCAGTGGCGTCTAAGAGTCTTGAAATGGGGAGGTTGATGGGGGTGTGAAAGTGAAGTGGGAGGGCTCGATGATTAGGTAAGGGGAGCTAGCTCGCAAAATAAGGTTATTTTAGGTGATTTTTAACTACTTGAGCATGATTTTTTTGTTGGCGACTGGGGAACGCAAGTACTTTTTTGGAGTGGCGTGTGCTCCCCCTTAGATACGCCACTGCACACACGTAAATACTGGTTTGTGTGCACTTCACAATTGCACATAAACAATTGAAATTTGTATGGTCAGTGGTAGTGTCATCTCTATAGTATCATTGAGTGGATCACTTTTCTTTACAGTACCTTAATATTTATAGGGTCCTATTAAATATTTCTTAATCACTTTGCAAGGTTATTTTTGGGAGTTTTTTGGTTGAATTCATGTTTCAAAACTTAATCAATTTGAAATCTTAGTTCAACGCAATTTGAAATCTTAATTCAACAAATAAAAATATATATACTGTATTGTACCATAACATTTAAAAAAAATTGAATGAATAATTAAAACTCGCTTATTAAAAAGTTGATAACATATGTAAATGTGCAGTTAAAAAATAATAATTTAGTTTTTTATTTATATTTTGAATGGAACTATCTATGATTGGTGAAAATACTGATAAAAAGTAGACAAAGCAAATGTTTAATAATTTTTTCATAGAAAATTTATGCATTAGTTTAGTTTCACCCAATTTGTGTTTCATAGTCTCTACTATAAATGAATAGCCCCCTCTACTTTTTCCTACTTTTGTTCCTTAATCTGTTCTGTATTGTTTAGATGAAGAAAAGGCCTATTTAGATTGTGTATTCAAAGTAGTCCTTTCATTTAACTTTTGATCTGATTGGTGTTTTGAAATGGGTGGAGCTACAATCCACTAACTTCACTCCCAGTCTACCTTATTAACAAATAATTACCAAACATATAAGATCAGTTCTATTTTTAACTGGAGAGATTTTTTTATTGCACGGTACCAGACTTTCAAAGGAGTTATACAAACCTGATGGTTGTGAAGCATATTTCAATCAAAGTTCCACTTGAGTGACTTTTAACAAACAAACATAAAAGTGTGTGTGATTAAACAGAATACAAACTGTCTATTCATGAACTTAGTGTTCTTTGAGGTTCAAACGTAAACTGTTGTACTTGCCTGACGTTCATGGGACAGACAATCGTGTGAAAATCTTCTTTCAGGTACAACAATGATGCAAACAGATCCATGATGATTATAATTGCCTCATGTAGGGCTCAACAGGTGTGAAAGATCCTCAGCATCAAAAGCCAGTTTTCTAGTGCAGAGGCTGACAGTAACAGCCAAGTGAAGATGACACAACCTAGGCCTAGGTATCAGCCTAAACCTATACAGTCCTGGACAGTGAACTCCGTCAAGGTTAACCAGAAGTGCAAAGAAAATGGATTTACTTCTCCACGAGTATTGTACAGCGCCAACCGTAACCCTCTTCCTGTAAAGCATTCTGTTGGTGGAGAGTGGGTTATAGAAGAATGTGAGGTACACATTAATTTATTCTTTACAAAATCTTGAAGCTCAGGTCACACTATAACATTTTATGTGATAAATTTGTGTTATGGGCCCATATGGGTATGATGATGTCATATTGGTACACCCAAATATGGGCATCACATAAAATTTGATAGTGGACAGAACTTTTCCATATTGCACACTAAATGTGAATCTCCCAATATTGCAACAAATTAATATTTTATTAATTAGTGCATTTTTTTGTATCCCCATATTCAACTGTGTATGGCTCCATTTTACAATAGTAGGACTACAGCCTTAAAAACAGCATAATGGGTAAAAGTATACAGTAGAACCCCTCCTTTGGGACACCCCTGTTAAAGGGACACTTTTTGGCCATGAAAGAAAGGGCGAGTATATCTTTTAACATTATGGCCAATTCATGTTCCCTCTTAAAGGGACACTTATTTTGGTCCTTAGGATGTCCCTTTAATAGGGTTTTTTTCAGTATTAACTTCAGTGTTGAAAGTTATTTATTTGTTTAAAATATTGCTTAAATTTTTAAATTATTAATTGAGAGAAATGACAATTGACATGGAAAAGGCTGTCATTGTGTGTTGATTGTTAATTCCTACACCAACCGTCGCAGGTGGAAACTCCTTCACAAAAAAAATTCCTGAAATACTGCTTTGAAAAATATTGATAAAATCTCAACCTGCCCGAAGGTATCCAAGATTTTTTTTCCACCTGCTTAAAGTCTTAATTTCATCATGAGCATCATAATTTGCTTGATTACGCTTGATTAACGGATGAGGATCGATTGACTGATGCTGAACTCTGGTGTTTTGCCGTTACATTTTACCCAAGGCATTGTGGTACAATTGGTGTACTTATTTTGCCCCAATGAATAATTATTTTAATTTGTATTATATGGTGGTTTGCTTTAAGATTATTTAGTATAATATTAAAAATTAAGTAATTAAGTAATATTAAAAAAACATTTTATAGAAATTTTTTTTAAGACATTTAATTTGGTGCAGAAAGTATAATTTCAAGAAATTTAAAATTTATTTATACAAAATTTGTAAATATTTTATATCGTATTTTTTATGTACCACATTCTGTTTTGAAATTTGTACATATTTTTATATTACCTATTAATTGCACTCATTTTTGCTATTTGTTTTAAATTTAAAAATTTGTAAATATTTGTAAATTCTCTGTAAAACGTGTATTAATTTGTTTTCTGTTTCTTATTTATCCATGTTTCTCATTTCTTGTCCTTTTTAATGTATTTGATTGTCTTTATATAAAATATACAATTGGTGAATCCCAAGCAATTCAGTTTATACTGTAAATAAAGAAATACAGATAAAGATTGAATTTGTATTTGAAATAAATTTAGATTGAATCTAAAAAATACATCCAAATTAAAAGTAAAAGCAAAGAAACTTAAAATTGCATTATGAATAATACACAATTAACTAGGTTTGAAATACTGAAATATTAACTATGCTACTTCATTTTAAACTCATTGTTAAATATACATTTCTCTAATTAATAGTATTCTTGCAGTAGTACGTAGTGGGAAAGAGTCCATCCATGGTTCCTAGAAGTGTACCGTTTAACCTCCAGGTTCACCCATTAAAAGAAAATTATGACTTAATATTTAATAGCACAACTCCATAAAAAAGACCATGTAAGTTGGATAGATGCACCCATGTGTCTGTATTAGTAATCCAAATCAGGTAAGGTAAAAATGGAACAGGAAAAAAATCGCCCCAGTAAAAATCGCCCCAAATGACAAGTAGGTAAAAATGGCCCTGATGAAAAAAGTCAGTAATAGAAATATTTTTTTTTTTAAATCTTCAAATATTTAAATACTGTAATAAGCAAGAATTGAATCAATCAATTTTAAAAATTGCCCTCATATATAAATTTTTTTTAAAAAGGGTTGAAAATCGTAAATTTATAAATAAGTTTTATTTTTTCCTTTGAAAATAAGATCAATTTATGTGATTTTTAAAAAATGTCTCCAAAAGTATTTGTTTTTTAACAAATACAGTTACACAACAGATGCAAATAATGTACTGAGAGATTATCAGAAAACAATGGCCATTGAATAACATTTTTTGATAGTAGAAATAAATTTAAAAAACGTTATTCCACTTACATAGTAGAAGAATGACATAATGACTACCAAAATATGCAACTCATAGATAACCACAAAATTCACTTTTGTTAAGTATCAAATTAAATAACTTTACATGTTATATACAATGCAAATAAACAGTAGTTAAAACATGTGGATCCATTGTGTGTTTGAATCACAAGTTCATGGGAAAAGGGAGAGGCTTACTTTCTCACAAACTTAGCAATTAAATGTTCTGCTTAAAGTTACTTCAAAGAAGTATTTGTTAATAAAATATTGTTTTTAAAGTAAACTAAATAATTAGGAATACATTTATTTAAGCAACTTATTTAATTGCATACTTGGTTTTTACTCCCTGCCAACTAAATTTAAGTGCCTAAAACTATACTAAATAATGTAAACTGACATACTATACATAGTTATGTAAATATGGCAATTATGCTAAGAATTAAAATGGCATGTAATTGTGAGGGTAGGGTAATTAAATTTAAAAAAAATTAAATTAAATTGTATTGCTAAATCCCACAAACTTTCCAAAACACTGTAGAAAACCAAACAATTCAATTGTGATTGACTCACTTGGTACACAATAAGAAAATTAAATACTCATAAGAACCTATGTTTTGGTTAAAATGTTGATTTTTTTTTGTGAAAAAATACTTGCAAATACACCACAAACCTCCAAACACACTGCAAACCCCATCCAAACCCTTTATTTATGATTGTAGAACTCTCTATTTGTTAAAAAAGAAATAATAATTTGATGTTCATATCAACCCATTATTTGTGGGGTTTACCAATACCCGGATTGAATTTCTAGAAAATTGGGATTCCGTTTCCATGAAAATGGCCACAAATAAAATTATTAATACATTATTTTAGTATTAATAAATGCATGATTTATGTTGATTTATTGATTATGTTGTTGCTATTTTTTAACATTTAAATGAAAAAAAAAGTGTTATTCATGGCTTTTTTTTAATTTTTGAATATTTTATCATTGAATATGTAATTCCTGCAAAAAGTAAAATGTAAATGGCAATTTATTTGATGTTAGATTCCTTTTAAAAATTAAATTATTTCAGTTACAAAAAATGCATAATGATTTAAAAAAATCAGTTTTAATACAGAATTTTATTATTGGGGCCATTTTTACCTACCTGTCATTTGGGGCCATTTTTCCCTGGGCCATTTTTACTGGGGCCATTCTTACCATACACTGTTTGTTGTACAGTAGTACAGTCACTATATAGATGTTTTTGTTCTGACTACATCTGTTTCTATAACTAGTTCATAGTTTAACATCTTCATTCTTATTGGTTGGTGTTTGATGTCATTATCCAAACATCATACTGCAGTAGATAAAAATCAGAAGTTAACACCAGTCACTTAGCAATTTAACCTCCATTTAAAATCAGATTTAGGTACAAGCTAACTGATCAGCCAGATCAGATTATAGAGGCCACACAAAACAAAAGTATTGTTTTAATATAGAATTCTGGTTGTGTTTCAAAGCATCTAGTATATCTAACAAGAAAAGTTTGCCATGTTATATACCTACAATATTCCATTAAGCCACAACATTTCAAATTTGTACAGTAACAAAAATTATGCATTTAATTAAAATTATTAAGATATTAGAACTTACCTTGTCCCTATATATTTGACACAGTTGATAAAACGATTTATGAAGGATTTTAATTTAATTAGGCATGATGGAAGCTCTTAATTTATGTTTTATTTATATATGCACGAATGAAACTTGTAACCGAAATGAATAATGCGAAGGGTTTAATAGAGATTACTAGAATCTATAAATAATGTAAAGGAAAAATGACTTTGTCAGCAGGTGATCGTAATCAAGTGACTTGACTAATTATAATTACTTAGATTCTCATTTATTCTCGTATTGCAAATTATCATTCCTTATCTATTTGGAATTACTTCAAAAATAATCTACAGACTGTGAGCAAGAATGACTAATTAATAAAATTTACCAGGTTATTGACCAACAAAGTTTAGAGTAACATGATATTAAATTGGTGTGGCCATATGGTTAGAGTACTGTAATAGTTTACCTACTTGTGCAAGCTATTATATGATATAAAACTGCTCACAACTTGCAGCAGCATCGTGGTGTGTGTTGCATATTATTCTACTCCTTGCTGTTAGTTACCACTTTGTTGGAAAGGTGCCAATATTGCTACTACTATTCAACTGAAATGGCTTCAAATATACTTTGAAAGTTAGTCGTACACAATCAGTATATCACACAGACCTTAACTTAAGTCGTTCCAGTCTCTGGATTTGTTAATTAACGATGCAGAATAAGTTAAACCGAACATTTTCACGTCTTCGCAAAGAAAAGCAGTTAGTTTTTCTTGATAAAGAACTTTTAGAGGTGAGTTATATTTGTCGGCATTCTACTCCATTCACTGTTTTGTGGAAAATATGTGTAGCCACAGAGGTACAGATAACCAAACAGTATTTTAATAATAGTACTTTTTCCACCAGTTTTAAAATGTTAAATATCTGTATCTTATTAGCTGTTCCTGTTCTCCAAACACCAGTTCTATGTTTTAACATTCCTTTGTACATATTAAAATTTGTTTTTTCTTCGTAGCTTTTAGTACCAGCTACTTTATATACTATATAGTTTTTTTTTTCTGTTTTAATATGATTTTCACAATTATTGCTTGCTGCTCTCATGTAGTGTGAAGCCTAGCTTCACACTATATGTTCTGTACATATATGCCATAACTTACCTATGTTATTTGCTTTTTTTGTCATATTTATGTAACCACCTCGTTTTTTAGTTAAGTTTTAATGTTCTTTTTTATAGTTCTTTTTTTTATGAAAGCAATGGAACCTGAATTTCATGTGAACCTTGTTGTGCACAATGACAATAAATCGATCTTGTATTTAATTCTGTTTGTTGTTTTTCTTGTGGCATGACTTAAGCGCGTAGAGTTTATCATCTAACCATGAATTATGATTAATAATCCTATTTTTGTATTTGAAAAGGTAGACATTACCATCCTCATCATCGTCATCATCATTTTCATTGCACAATTCAAATAACAGGATATTTTTCTGTCATCATCTTGGAACAAGCTATTGATTTCAATTCATTAGTAATCTGAACTACGCTACTAATGACTTACAATTGACAAGATCGGGCCCAATATCATGCATTAAATCCATCCCAAGTATTTGCTTAACTTTCTTAAGTATTCAGTGTTTACCTATTGGTATTGTGAATGAGATATTTTCTGTTTCATTGGCCAAGAAGTCAATTTGAACAAAGTGTTTGTTCTTTATTTTAGGAACACACATCATGGGTCAATAAGGTATTAAAACGACACAAATTTCGGCCAGTGAATGACCTCCGAAAAGCTGTATCTGAAAGTCTAATCCTTGTCAATCTTGTGGAAATATTAAGTAAGTATGATACTTGGATTGTTTAAAAAATGTTTAACAAATAATGTTAATTGTACGTTTTTTCAACTCTTGTTTGTTTGCCATTGACCTTACCTTTTTTACTGTAAGTTTTTTTTTTTTATATTTATTTTGGAGTGCCCATAACATGCAGTAAGTACTGTATGTATATAAATGTATACTCACCCCTTATATTTCAAATGTTTTCCTTCAATTAATTTTCCTTTTTCTTTGTTTAACTGATATTTCCATTTAGTTGTATTAAACGTAGTTAAGCAGGTCGCACTACATTTTTGGGTGCTGCCGATATAAAGGCATACTACTATATGTTAAAATGAATGAATAAATACCAAATTAATTGCAGCATGTTGTAAGCTTTTAGCATTATACAGTCTGCGGTCAGAGGTGGCACCAGGATTAGTCCAGTGGGAAGCTAAAATTGGGTTGGGTCAGACAGTTTGTGACCGACTTTGGCAAAATCTGGAGCTTGTCGTCTAAACGATAGTTTAGACGACAAATCAGCTAAAATTTCCATGTATTGACCATCTTAATACATGTTGGACTAAAAATATAAATTATCATATATGTCTTTGTCATTTGTTTGTCTGGTTTTAACAATTTTTGCATCAATTAGCTTTTGACATAGATTCTAAATATCTAATAATCTAATTTTTCATTTTTTGAGCAAAGGCCTGTTTTTGCTCAAGTTGGTTACATCTCTGATGATAATTTGCATGGTCTGGGGGGAAAGGTCTTTGTAGGGACCCAGGTTCTTAGCCCTTACCCTCTAAAAAAAATAGGTAATTTTTGTCCCCATATAAGCTTTTCATATGTTTTGGGCCAAATAATTTTTGTAAATTAAAAAATAGTCACTCATTTTGGTCTAAGTAATTACAAATTTGGGCTTGGCCTGTCCTACGGGGAACTTTAGCCCCCCTGACCCCACTGGCACTGCCACTTTCTACCTGACAACGTAAATGTGATAGCTATTAAATGTACTGTTGTTAAAATTGTAAACATTACCATTTAAATGACTGAATTTAAGAGTAATGAATTAACAGGCAGCTGGTCTGCTTGAAATAAGCCTAGATAATGTAATGTTGTTGCAATGTTGTTTATTGTTTTCAACTAAAAAAAAAAACCCTGCCTAATTCATTGTTATGGCAACGAAACATGATGATTTCTATAATATTTCCTTGCATGTGAAATGTAAAGAGAGGCAATAATAATCAAGCAAAACTAGACTTGTGCTTACAACCTTTTGGAATTTTCTCATAATAGTTGAATATTTTCAGTCCTAAATTACCTAAGGATTCTTCTTTTTTTAAATTTTATTTTTTTAGCGTCTTCTTTGGCACTGACTAGAGCTGGTGTCAAGTTATGTTTTGTCTTTGTAATGTGGTTTATAATTTTTTTTAAATTTTATTATTTTTATTGTTGCTATTGTTGTGGTTATTATTATTACTATTACTATTATCATTATAATTACAGTATTATAATATTGTATTCTATGAGAATGTGTTGGTTTGTAGGCGCTTGCACCTGTTGACACGCCTCTCACTGGAATTTCTTATATTTGAAATAAAATGAAATATATTATTATTATTTAACCTGTTTACACAGAGTGCAACCAGTTTATTTATTTATTTATTTATTATTTTGCATTTATAAAGCGCTTATTCAAAAGGATCAAAGCGCTGTATATATCAAAGTTCAAAGTGTACAGAAATCTTAAAACTACCGTTAAAATATACAAAACTACTTACTAGGAAACAGATACGTTTTAAGTTATTTTTTAAAGATTTGAACACTGGGAGCCTGGCGGATCTCATAAGGAGTGCTATTTCATAGCCTTGGTCCAATAACAGAAAACGCACTATCACCAAATGATGTCTTGGAGATAGGTACTGTCAGGCGCAAATTATCTTTAGATGATCTAAGACCGATACGACCTGGTTCACTTGTTGTAGACTTAATACTTTTATTAAATGATCCACCTTGAGGCAATAGTGTTAAGTTGCCTTTTTGCCGCATTTCAAATCACAAATTAAAGATTTGAGATTTAGTTCAATCAAAAGAAAATATATTGGAGAAAACCTGAATAGAAACATGCAGTCTGAATCTGATGTATTATTAGCATACATCAATATAGAGGAGCATTGTTTAATAGTACTACAAAAAGATGAGTTGTTAGTCAAAAGTATTTTATTCAAGGTGAGAAAAATAACAATTTCTAATGAATTGTAATCTGGTGTTTACAAGCCTCTTTTATACCCAATGACAAAATTGTGCCTAGTAGGCATTTGGTTACTATGGATACTGTTGTTTAGAGGGAAGGTTTCAAATGACTGACCCCTACACAGAAGGTCGTGTGTGAGACAAACAGAGTGTGATCAGAATGGCTGTTTCAGGTAAATAAAGAATAATTTGTTAGCTTACCTGTAACCAATCAGTGTAGGAAATGACAAGATACCTTTAGTACCCACCTGGGGGATCTAATAAAGCAAGCAAAGCCAAAGCGAACATCAGCTGTAAGTACTGAACCATTTTAAGTTACTGACCACCTCCCTGCTGAAATGTTAGAGGTATTACATATTATTATACAGGAGCAAGATAGTGTTACAGTACAAACAGTTTACAGTACCATGGAGCTACAGTAAGCTTCTTCAGTTATTCCACTATACAGTATACTTTCATGATTAACTTTATGATTACATAAAGTGGTACTTGCACACAGTTTTGGCAGATGCTTTTGCCAGAACTGTAATTTATAATCTTTTTTCCTTCTGAAGTTCTTTCAGAAGATCCTTCAGACATAAAGATCGCTAAACAAGTTATAAAAAAAGTCTTGCCTAATATATCAAAATGAAGTGGTTGTTTGCATAAGATAAGATAAAAACTTTATCAATCTTATTTGGGAAATTCTTTGCTTACATACAAAAATTACAATATGAAAATATGTATTAATAACTTATAGCGGCCATTATCAATACATTATTAAATGAATCTGCATCTTTTTAGACTGTGTCAGTTTTTTTTAAAAATTAGTATTTTAAATATATTTTGATACAATTTGCATATTAACACAACAAATACCTTCTTTTTACAATACCATTTTTGTAGCAAGGTTTTTTCTAAATGTAGGAATTGCAAAAAAGGAATTTAGGGTTAATTTATATATTTTTAGTATTAAACAATTGCTCCAGCATTTTGTGCTATATACTAAAGTTTAACATTATTAAAATTACTCATTCTTAGAGAAAATGTGTTTTTTAATGTAACAACAGTTACAAAAATACCCCTGTAAATTATACAGTAATAAAGAATCAGAATTTCATTACACAAGAGTTATGTCCTTCAATAAATAGAATTCTTGGGATCAAAACTTCTAAAATGACCCTTTAATGTGACACATACTCTTTACACCTGATTAGACAAGGTTCAATTCCCAGACTTATAAAATTACTTGCCCTTCTTGCATTTATATTTTAAGTACTTTAAGTGTGTTTTTTGTTTTTGGTTTTTGGATGTGAATACAGTGAATTAAAAGCCCATTCAGTTACAGTATGCAGTTACAGGGCCGGCTTAGGCCTATGTCTGGCTGACTCAAAACAGTAACAGTGTTCAAAAGGCAGGTCCAGGGCCAGGTTGTTCGAGGGCTACTTCAGTTTGTACACTTCTTATCTGTTCTTGTTTGTGGTTGCATAATATGACTAAACTCAGTTGTTTGACAAACAAATGGAAATAGTATTTTGTATGGTAAATATCTAATTTTATTTATTTCCCTATTGCGTCCAATAATGTAAAATATCAGTTACATAATTCAATTATATTTAGATATATTTTAAACTAAACATATAATTATATAATCTAAATAAAATAAAAACAATATTAAGAAATTCCAATGAATATCAATTAACCATAAAAACATAAATAAAGACAAACTCAATTACAATGATAGATATTGAATAAAGTTCGTTATTGGCATACTTAAATTTATAAACAAAAACTGTAAGCTAAAGAAAGTTGACAAAATATACTATTTTTTAGACATTGACAGGAATATATTTAGCTGTTAAAGAAAAGGCTTACCATATAGTTTATGAATTGTATAATTTCCAATTACAATTAAACTGTGAGTTAAAACATAATCAGTGGCTGTCTATTTGTGCCAGGAGATGAGACAAAAGTTATCAATCAAGATTCACTCGCTACAACATTGAAAACAAATATGATATTAAATTACCCATTATCGATTTATTATGCATTTTTTGATTGAAAGAATACAGTAAGCCAAAACAAAGTGTGTTTGTAAGTGCGTTTCCCTTTGGGATAGAAATTGGGATAAGTCATGACGGAAATGGAATGATAGATTACCTACCGCTTTACGATCAAGAAATGTTTTGAATATTAAATTACATGATTGAAATATATCCTATATATCATTCTAGCGAACTGTAATACTGTACTTTTTCAGCTATTGTATCTTAAACTACAGGGATTAGTTATTGAAATTGCAACCATTTGTGAAAATAAACGCGTCATACATTAAACCCGATTTATTGAGTTAGTTGGAAAACTCTACCCGGAGATCATTAAGTTTATGATGCTGAAATGTGAAGTAGAAAGACAGGCTATTAGGTTTTTTTTCGGTATTTATGGCCTGGCGTCTTATGTGTTAACTACTGATACTAGCTTTTAAGGTATTGTTATACTTGAGCCATCGTTAATCTGAGTGTTATAGAAGCATCATGTAAAGTAAACTATTAAATTCTTACAATACACTTCAGTTAAATTATTTATCTTTATGTAACTTCCTTTACAATTCAGTCCAATATACCAATGAATAAAAGAGCAAGGCAAGTATGTGATTGTATTTATAGCCAGGCTTCTTAATTATGTTTGTGTTATGTATTCGCTGCAGCAGTAGATCTGTATTCATGGCAGTTAAAATGGGTGGTAGACAATTTGTTACCTGGACTTTTTTGCAGTTTGGACTATTC